CGAAAAAGCGGTGGGTTTTTCGAGAAGTTGTTGATTATGTAATTGCCGGAGAGTTCTTCGTCTTCTTGTAAGTGTTATTGAAGCGTTTGGCCTAGTAGATTGTATATCAGTATACCCTTCCAGGCTCTGAAGAAGGCGATACTGCCGAAACGTCAGCTAGCGTTGTATTGTATTGTGTTTTTATGGAAGTAAATGTATGCTGTTTAAAAACCTCGCGATTGCTGAACAAGAAAACGACACATTCATATTCAAGTAGGCATTTCTTCTATACTAACTGCTTTGCATTAATACAAATTTTTTTCTACAGATTCGGCATTTCATTGTCGAAAGATAAAAATACCCAAGACAACAGATGGACTTCATTACTTACCTTGACTTCAGCCCCGCTGGCCCCAGGTATTGCCTCTGCAATCTTCTTCATATTGATTCCTCTCATCAGATTCATTTTACGGGAGTGGATTTTCAAAATATCTGCGCGAGCCTTTTCATCAGGTGCAGGAAATTCTATCTAAACTTCTGTTTTTAACTTTTTTTTTAACAAAAGAGAATCAATATTGCTTCTCCACAATAAGTCAAGGAACAAAGGGCATATGGACAAAGGCACCTTTCTGTCAATTCTACCAGGGCGAAGTAGTGCAGGGTCAAGGATGTCAATTCTGTTAGTAGCCATGATCACCTAAACTATATATTTAACAGCGCACTATATGTAAAAGACTTGGATTAACCTTTATATTTTTCGTTGCTTCAAAACCGTCAAGTTGGTTCAGTAATTCCAGCATCGTTCGTTGCACTTCCGAATCTCCCCCGCTGGAAAACATGGAAAAATTACGAAGAGTTAACTTATTAAGCATTAAAGACAACTCGGTTTCGGATTTCCATAGTCCAGGGGACAAATCTGCTACCATGATAACTATTAAATATGCATAAACAGTTTACGGATGACACATATCAATCTTCTTAATAGGCTCAATTTGGCATACAAAAGATCATTATTCTATCTGCAAAGTTTACATGGCGATATAGCTTCAACGCGCATAATCAACAGATGTAAAAAATTACTTTCTATGAGCATTGCAGATGAAGAACACAGTATACGTGTTAAATATAAGAATAAGCCATCTACGAAGATGCACCATCTCGATCCAGAACTTTATTTCTACGAAACAAGCGCATTTACGAATTCTTATAATACTAGGCGAAGGAAAATTAGGAAGAAAAAGTTCAAGATTGGTTTGGGCTGTTGCCCAATCCAAAACTGTCAATTAATCACACTAATAGCTGTCCGAGGGCGCATATAGCGCAGTGGTCGGAGGCGCCCTGCAATACACATTGTATTGATTCCCGCGCACCGAGCTCACCAAGCCTTCTATCTCTCCGAGGTGGTCAAATTGGTACCAGACTTGTCTGGCAGGATAGCAGCACTAGCTCGATACATCGGTAGGCCACCGCGAGTCATTGTAAGGGCCAGATATGAATTCAGTCATCTCCAACGACGCTCAATGAAGTCGAATGCATGGCACATCCTTCACAGATTGATCAACGGTGACAGTTTTACCCATTATTTTATCTTAGTAGCTGTCTACTGGCAGAATTCCAGTTTGAAAGCAGCGAATGTCCTTACGATCTACAACAGCCATGAAATGTTTATGACGAAGTAGGAGACGACCAAGGATGGTTATACCCTAACTCCAAGGAAAACTACGCCCGACCAGGTTCCAGTATGTCAATGAGTATAGAAAGCTAGAGATAGTCAAGACTCAGCCAAATACATACGAGAGTGACAATCGCATGCGTGGATATGAACGATGGTTGCAATCGACGAAACGGATAGAAAACGCATTGGGACAATTTCAGATAGTTGTTACAACCACATTTCACCCGTTTATAAAACAGAGAGCCTTCCAACGGTTTATCGCCTCATCGTACCTGGGAGGTCTTCCCGGGTGACGAGCTGCGATGTAGAGCTGAGGATTCATCCTTCAAGAGGGCCTCCCAAGCTAAGGAGTCCAGGTTTCCATCAGGAAGCCCATCTATGAGTAAACTGGTACCATGATCCACCATCATCCTGTTATCAAACTAGTCGCATGATGGCAAATCTCACTTTGATCGACAAGGGCGAAAACTGCGTGCGTTGGTGACGACCTGGACAGACTGACCTGGCTGATCTCAGGACTACAGAGTTATGCTGGGGCCCATACAACCAGTGAAGACAGGTCATCTGAGTATCCAAGTAGGTATAAAACAGAAGTTTGAATGAGCGAGAATTTCCTTTGATTAACACCACAACCATCTAACTATAATTCTAGCAAGAACGGTTAAAAAAGAGATGAAAAGTTATTATTACCTAGATCCCTCTACCCGGCTCGATCCAATAGAATCGATTTCGTCCATGAAAATGATAGAAGGAGCATGTTCCCTGGCCATAACGAAAAGTTCGCGAACCTGTAAAACATTTTTTTTTACCAAGGAATATCCATCCTACTAAAGAAGAACGTAGCTCACCATCCTCGCTCCCTCTCCAATAAACTTTTGAACAAGTTCGGAACCAGACACACGAATGAAGGTACACTCAGTATGGTGTGCTACTGCTCTGGCGAGTAAAGTTTTACCAGTTCCAGGAGGGCCGTATAACAGTACACCTTTCGGTTGAGCAATGCCGAGAGCTTCAAATAACTCCGGATGCTTCACAGGAAGCTCAATCACCTAGAAAAGAAAGAAATCGCAAACGTCGACAATTATACTTTATGCCACTCTCTGATCTTGCCTCTTTAATCTCCTTAATTTGTTTATCGAGACCACCAATCATTTCGTACGTAGAGTCCGGCACCTTCTCAACCATCATAAGTGATACAAGAGGATCAACCTGACAAGTAAAAACAGTGTCAGGAATAACCCTAGTAGTCAGATGGGTACGAAATATTGCAAGGAAGATATTTACAAAGGTATACCCATTGATGGAAAGTCTAGGAAAAAATACCTTATTGGGCAGAATTTTGTGCAGAGCATAACTGTCGGCCCGAAGAGCAACACGGCAAGCGGCATTAATAGATTGAACATCAATTCCCTTATCAACGTCCACGACATATTTTCCTTCAGGATGGACCTGACAGCGTTCGAGAAAATGATAGAATAAGTGTTTGAATTTATTAAAGTTAAAAACACGATGAAACTACACACCTTGACCAAAACTTTCTTCTTGTCCATGGCTTTGCTCACTTCTCCAACGTAGCTTCCCTGCTCATGAAGTTGCTGCAGTTCTTCTTTGAGCATACGAACCTACGAACATCATCAACAGTGAAAATCTTATAATCGTACTAATTCTTCAATGTTACAAAGGAGAAACCTTATGACAAACCTTAGAATTGAGCTCGTTTCGTTGTGCTTGTAGGCGGAGAACATTTTGGTTTTTTTCCATCACTTTTTGCTAAAAGCAAATGCAAAACTTGACTTTGAAATAACTCAGTTTATTTAGATCCTCATCAGGACAGGTCTTAGATGGAAAAAAGAAACAGTGAGGATACTGGTTCTCAAGTAGCACTTTTATATCAGTCTACAACAAAACTGTGTTGGTCAAGTAACTCACATCTTTGATAGATTCCAATAAAATCAAGAGGGAACACTAATTCACAACGCTTTCCTAGCAATGTTAACCTTTTTATCTGCTGCCTACTATAACTTTCACGGTAGAGTATGATGTATGACACAACTACAACGATGATGAGATAATCGGAAAACTTGGACCTCGGGCCAGATCGAACCATGGTTAGCCTTTCCGGGAGTTCGCGCGTTACACACTGTACCAATGAGGCTCCTGTTCTCAGATAGTTTTCTATCTAACTAGCTGAGAGAAACGTTTTTAAGCCTTCCTAACAGCTAACGACTGTCCAAATTCAATGTGACTAATGAAGCATCCGGTCCAAAAACGTCAAGGGAAGCATTATGGGCTTGGGGAGGTTAATCTCTTAAGTGTGTCCCATACAAGTATGGCAAACTATCAGAAAACCTCAAATGCTCATAAAAGAACATTGAATTGAATTGAACTGAACGGTGAACTACGTAATCTCAGGAAAGCGAGAAACCAACTTGAGCCTCATAAATTTTAGTTTTGAAATAGGTTCTCAACGAATGTTCATCCGCATTTCCTTGGGATGGCGAGAGAATCTCAATGTCGGAATTTCCTGCAGGTGGAGCCATGGACTGAAAATGCCATACATATAAGAACTAATGAAAAATATTTGGCGATCATGAGTGAAACACGACACGAATGGAACACCAGATAAGTTGGCAAATCGTCGTATTAGCTGTATAGTAAAGCTGAATGGTATAACTATTTCTGAAATAGCTTCCAGCACCCCACGGACGGATACTGGAAATCCAGGAAACGGAAAGAATTGGAAAAGATGAAAAATCCGCGGCGTAATGTGATTCCATGTTCGGACGAGCTTCCCGCGGATATCGAGCCTCCTACACTAGTGCAAGCGGTTCGCTTCAGCTCAAAAATGCGAAGATAACGACTGGTATAACTGTTTCTGAAAGAGTTTCCGGTATTCCAATGAATCGGTGCTGGACATCCAGTGAACGGCATAGAAGTGGAGAGGATGAGTGAGACGGCGCGAAATGTCATGCTGTATTCGTACGAGTTTCCCAAGGACCTCGCGCCGCCGACGCCGTCGCGAGCGGTTCGCGTCAGCTCCAAAAATGTGAAAATACTATTTGCGTCAGGTTTAGGTCCAAACGTTTACTTAATGTTCCTATGCAGTACTAGCTCCTCCTTACTCTCTTCCAGTTCTTGCTTTTGATCCTACTCAGACTTTCTCTTGAAAATCTTCGTTCAGGTACAACTTTAACAACTGCAGCTGTCTATGCACTGTAGTAGGATAAACGTTGTGCTTACAAGTTCTTACGTTTCTGTTCATTGTTAGGACCAACAGGAGTGGTCCCGTTGACTGTCAACGTCGGTTGGTTGCGCAAGTTTGCGCATTTGACGCCGATTGCTATAATTTCTAGATTTTCGCACATTAGGGCCATCCCATAGGGCCGTGTCGATTCCCAAATGTGACAGCTTAGTGGATAAATTCACAATCCGAACATTAAACACTTCCAAGGCTATCTTCTACTTTCTGCCTCGTATGCAGATTTTGCAGATGCAGAGTGCTACTTCGTAGTTATCGATCGTCCCGACGAGGTCACTCGCAAGTGACCGATCGATACTGAGTCCCGCCACGGTTTCCATCGCGAAGGCGTCAGTTTCTCGTTGGCGTTCCGCCAAGCACGTGACTTGGAGTTTTCGAGAGACGCTTCCATCCAACGCACGTCGTGAACTCCGCAGTCTTCATCATTTATGCTGTTCTCTCTTTTGTTGGATTCTCTTTGTTAAGGTGTTCATTGTGCGTAATGAATGCGCATTAGTTTGCTAATACAAAGAGCACGGGCTAAAGCGTAAGCTAGGTAAAGATTATTGCCGTCCTGGAGCAAGTGCTACCCTCGTTGGTGATTTCTTCTTCCCTCGGCTTTTTTTGAACGCAGAATCCACCTTGACTGTAGGTCGCGTAGTAGAAGACGTCATAGAGTGACAACCACTGATAATGAGATAAGGTAATATATCATTCGGATGATGTTTTTGCTAGCTTCTGTAGTGAGTAGTATTCTGGGTTGTCCGTGGAGTGGTCGCTACGTCTAGAAGGGATATTTTTTTGTAAGCGTTAGGATTCTTTGAACTGCTCTTGAACTTTGAGCTTAGACCATACCTTTAAAACTGGCTTCTCTAGCATAAAGCGAAATGTGGATGAAAGTACGACTCATACCTTGTGGTTCGTATTGCTCCAAGTTGTGCACCTTTATTTATCGCTCCTACAAACTGTTGTTTCTTCTGTTTTTCGACATTTTCATGTTTTATTTCTGTTTTCTATTTACAGTAAAGAACCGATAACCTTCAATGGCTCGTACCAAGCAAACAGCTCGCAAGTCAACTGGAGGAAAGGCTCCTCGCAAGCAGCTGGCCACTAAGGCCGCGCGTAAGTCTGCCCCATCTACGGGTGGAGTGAAGAAGCCTCACCGCTACCGTCCTGGAACTGTCGCTCTACGTGAGATTCGCCGTTATCAGAAGTCAACTGAGCTTCTAATCCGCAAGCTACCATTCCAGGTGAAGCCACTGGACAACTCGATAATTTGAGTTGTCGAAGTGTAGGAATATAAGAGTCCAATTCCTATCTTCGTTTTTCAGCGCCTTGTTCGCGAAATTGCTCAGGATTTCAAAACCGACCTGCGCTTCCAGTCTGCCGCTATCGGCGCTCTTCAGGTAACTATAATATATGCCTATACGGCTTCTCTGCCGCGTTACGTACTGGCACTGGGAGGCTAGGGTCAAAAGTTTAATGGCTTGTTTTAGAGGCATTAAGTACCTTTCTCATTACATTTTTGAATACATAACATGTCTCTATACATAACAAGCTAGGAATCACTGGAGGACCTATGTGTTTGTGTGGAAGAGACATCGTAATAGCGTTGATCGTTTTTTGGTCTTCGTGATTAATTCTCATCGTGATTCTCAAACATTAAGAACATCGGAAGTAAAACAAGGTTATGGAGACCTATCATGAAGTTTCAGCCTTTTCATCACTTAAAGGTTCAGTTTTCCAGGAGGCCTCGGAAGCCTATCTTGTCGGCCTCTTCGAAGACACCAACCTGTGTGCAATTCATGCCAAGCGTGTGACTATCATGCCGAAGGACATCCAGCTTGCGCGCCGTATTCGTGGAGAAAGGGCTTAAATCTTTCTAGTTCCAAACTACACTTTCTCTATTAGATCTCCTCACCGTCTTATCTTTCCTGAGAAGTACTGCTGACTGTCCGTTTTCAGTTTTAATGGACATTTTTGTGTTTTTGTAATGCAATAAAGTTGACTTGCCGTAGACATGCTCTTTTGTTGCTTGGTGGTATTTCGCTCGCGTTTAGGACACAGTTGGTCGAAGTAAGAAATAATAAAAGATAAAGCTTTCGACGTTGACCAATCCATGAGAGATGCGCCATGAATTCGACTTCATTAAGCGTCGTTTGAAGGTGATTGAATGGTATACATGGGATTTGCAATGACTCGTTGTGGAGTACCAATGTATCGGGCTAGTGCTGCTGCCCTCTCAGACAAGTCTGGTACCAATTTGCTGACCCCGGAGGGGCGGAAAGCTTGGTGGACCAGGGCGCAGGGGTTGGTCCCATGTGTGGGTTGCAGAGCGCATCCGACCGCGGTGCCACACGCGCCCATTGATCGAAATAACCGTCACTTAGGAGAGAAGGTATGAATAGTGTGACATGAAGCTGTTGTCGTACCTCGCGGTTCGTTCACTTACAGAGACCATTGTTTCCCAAAGTAGGTAGTTCTACAAGAGATTTGTTTGAGGAGATTAAAGCTTTGTATTATCCTGGACGTATTAAAGGTTAGTGAAGAGAAGTTTCAAAGTAGAACAGAGACCAATGAAACTAAAATGAATAGGGCTTCCCACATACGTTGGTATTGTCTCTACATTTGTGTCGGGAAACCATGGTATGTCTCTGGGCATTCTTCGGTGGGTAAGGATCTTAAGTGTGGCTGTTTTCCGTAACGGCACTACCGGCTCAATCCACAGCAATCGAGCTATTTGGTGCCACTATAGGTATGTGTTAGGATGTAAACATATCATTTAGATAGTGCTGTTAAGACTGCTTGTTTGAATGGTTGTATTTCGAGTTGGTATAAATAGCCGAGTGGTTTACTTTGGCAGTTATTCTTATCTCATGGTCCATCAAAAGCAGCGAGCTACAATGCTATTCGCTTATGTTGCCCCAATTGTAGGTTACACTCTATGCTGTATGGGACGTTGGCTGTAGAATCTTTGCGTAAATAACATATTTGAAGGAATTTCCAGCATAGAATCCCACAAATTAGTTTATGTTGTCATTCGTTCCAGGTAAACATACTCCTATTAATCAGTACTAGCTTAATCAAGTGTGTCAAGGAAGCAAACAGGTAGGTGTTCTCACTCTTGGGTCTGCTCAGACATTAATGGGTCACGCTCGGTACTAATCAACATGTTACCAAGGACTCCTAATTCTTAGTGGCTTCAGCTTGTGCTTTTAAAGGCGATGGCCGGGTACGGTATGAATCACAGAAGACTCCGTGGAGACGTTTGTCCTACATATGAACCGAACATGGCTCATATCGTCCAGAATGCCTACATGCTCAAATAAAAGAAAGTATAAAAACCATAGCTGCAGTGTGGTTTCGTAACCAACTCCACGTTTAGATAGTGATTTATTTCCTTGACTGACTACGACTGTAAATGGATAGAGAGAATACATTAACACGGTGTGTCTTTTAGATCGATATACTAGGAAGACTTAAAACACTCACACCGTTCTCACCAAGTGTAGGTGTCGGGGTCATTTAAGCTGCATACACATTTTCTAAATGTACAGTGTTCATCTGACGATGGCTTACAGTTACTATAGAAGGCGATTGCTTGGCCAGAAAAATGATAGCCTAGAATCATTGATAGACCTAACCAGATATAATTGTTTACACAGGTATTTTAGATCTGTTATCTAGTATCACTTCAATCATCTGTTCTCCTTTTTATCGTCTAGTGACTCGTGCAGGCGCCAGTAAACCTTTTTCCTAGTGGGTTTTGCTCACTCTAGGAACTCGTTCAGCATCATATCTTTCTTCTAAGATTTTCAGATTTTCGTCCAGAACTCTGACCATGAGGACGGTGGTCTTCTTGTTGTGATTATGACACCCCAAGGAGACCATTTCCTAACATCTCCTGTCCCTCAGTTGTCGATCATAATCATTACGGGTCCGACATGATTTGGCGTATAGAACGCCTTGTCGACCGTTGACGTAGATCGAAACTTCGAATCCCTTCCTTCATTTGCGTGACACGGGTATTTCTAGCATCGTCGTTACGACTGCGCGTTCTATAACACTGAGTGTGCTTTCATCCTGCTTACGCAGCGGCTAAGTCTGAAACGCATTTGTCTAGGCTAAAAGAATCGTGAAGTCGAGAACGTTAGCACGGGGTGAGATGCTCTTTACTCTTTTCACTACATCCTCGATACTCTTGAAAGGTCCCCAAGCCGCTCGTTTCTTTCTACTCAACTCTGGAGCTACGTCGTCCATCATGCTAATTCCCCGACCTAGGTAGACGTGGCAGGAGCATTCGGAGATGTTCATTCCGTCGAACGTGATTGAGGCCTACGAAACCGAAACCATTATCTCATGAACATCGTTTTTATGAGAGTTAGTCGAAAACCAATCTTTCCACAGGCGTTGTTAATCTGCTAGCATTCCTGCTAATGGTTGATGTTATGAAAACGATGTCACCATCAAAGCGAGGATGCTGTGATTGTGGTGTAGTTGCCGACTATCAATTTTCAGTCTCATGTTGTCCATTCCAATGCTCGCTTGACGTTCTGGAGGATGGCAGTGAATAGCTTCGGCGAGGTTGTGTCCCGTTGTCGAATTTCTCTCCTTAAATCGATGTTATTTTTGACATGCTCTAGTTGTGAAGATGTTATATAGCTCACGAAAATATTTGCGCACTGAGTGGGAAAACCTTTGATGTCCAGCATCTTCTGTGCGTGGTTCTGTGTCAACTGAATCGAAAGTTTTTAACCTTTTTATTTACTGCCTTTTTCTTTTAGTGGCAGGGTATGTTGCGAAATATAACTCGTATATAATGCTGAGATATTTGCAAAACTCCGGACCGCAGGTGTATGCGGTGGGGAACGAATGCGCACTAGCACTATTGTCCTTACCGGGGAGTAGCACACTTCACCACCACACCATCCAGGTCCTTCGCTTTGTTTGTCTCACAGCCAATCCCGTTGACGGGTGATTGCTGATGGCAAAAGATCGATAGAACTAGCTGAGAGACAGCCAAAGCGAAGGACCCGGATGGTGTGGTGGTGAAGTGAGCTACTACCCGGTTAGGACAACAGTGCGCGTTCGTTCCCCACCGCGTACACCTGTGGTCCTGAGTTTTGCAAATATCTCAGCATTATACATGAATCAAAAGCCTTTGTTGTGCTGACAAAAGTGACATAGACTGTTGCTATGCATCCCTTGTTTTCTCACGATATTTCGATGAGTCTCGTTATCGTGTTGATGTGGTCCATCGTACTGAATCCTTTTCGAAACCCTGCTTGCTCACATGGGTGTCTTTCGTCCAGTGTCCTATTACGCCTGTTAAGGACGACTCGAGTGAAGAGTTTATAGAAACAGACAGCAGGCAGGTTAGGCAATCCACGTTTGCAGTGTTTTTCGTATTCTGAACTTAGCGCCTTTCTCTTCTTACCGCGAAATATGGAGTCTTGCGAGAAGAATGTAATACCTCCCAAGGGTTTACCTCTTCATCGTGGCTGCGAGGTACTCTTGGGTGTTGGGCTCCGATGTTCAGAGTGGGCTACATCTCCCAACACTCCTTCAAGACGCTGAAAAGTCGGAGAACTCCATACGGAAAACCACCTAAGAGTAAACTAACACGGTGAATCACCAGCGTCCTGGTACCAAATCAGCAGCGCAGTGGGAAATCTCGTTCACAAAGGTGGCGACTGCATGAGGTGGTGATAACCGCAGGAAGGATTTGGCTACGCTGGACTCATAATTTCAAGAAGCCATAATGGCTAAACCAGCAAAGATCCGGCCTCAGTATCAGGCACACTGGGCGCTACAGTCTACGAAGTCGGGGGGTGAGACAAACGTTGTTGGGACTACCACTATATCCGATCATGATATGGAATTGTTAAAAACGTAAGCCAATCCTTTTCACTCTGCAACCCACTGTTCGAACCACGAAATCTCTGCTGCTGAAAGACCGCTTGGAATTCTATCCTCTGAAGTTCGGGGTGCTGCCGAAATCATGAATACAGGTACAGCACAAGGACCCGGTAACACCACCGCTGCCTTATTTAAAGCTGGAGGCCACAATTTAAATGCACTTCTCGCATTCCATATGACATCTTACCTTAAGAAAGGGAAAATCACGGACAAATAGGGCACCTTGCGGTCATTCTACCACAAGAAGGATGGGCGAGGAGATCTGCATATGTACCGGTTATATGCTTTTAAGTGTACTCTACATGCTGCTCACGAAGACTGCTTCAGCCGAAATCGAAAGCTTTGGATGAAACAGAACCAGTTGAGCAAGCAGGATTCCAACCGAGATTTCGCTTTATCGACCACATCTAAACCTTTGAAGTCATAGAAGTATGTCGAAAGCACCATCGGACCTTGTCCTAACCTTGATCGACAACGAAAAAACGTTTGATGGTGTGGAAACGGGTGCAATCCAACATGTACTCGCCGACCATAGAGTGGACTCGTCCTCTTTTCAAACATTAGCTGACTCTTGTCGGAACCAAGTCGCAAGTACACAGCTTGTTCATCGACTCTTCACTACAACGTAGGAAAATGGGTCGGGCGAGGCGACACATCATATCGTCAAAGCTGTTTTCTGTTGAGCTGCAGTGGTAAATAAAGTCTCTTGATTGGGATTAAAGGCGCCTACGTACTGATAGAAAATTCCTGTCACATCACCGTCTCGCGGATGACATTTCTATCTTTTCGAGGACTACCAGTGAAGCAGAGACGGTGCTCAGTGAACTCAACAAAACGAGAAGAAAGATTGGACTGCACATAAATAGTTCGAATTCCCAGTTCACGAGGAACCCATGGTGTAAAAGTGATCAAATCAAGCTGGATGATTTTCTGATCATAGAGACCATCTTGTACGTG